TTACATCGTGCACTTGATACGCGTATCAAATAGTAACAAATAGTAAATAACTAGTAAATTCGTTTGGTCATTGGCTGATCAGTTCAAATACACTATTTGATATGCGTATCAAGTGCACGATGTAAACTAGGCCATAGTGTAAAGTGCTGGGATCACTACCGGTATAACTTGGCAGAGATTTTACTTGGATAGTATAAAGCACGCGATAGTTCTTACGCTTATTCGCGAATGAACGATCGCAGCGTCCCACATAAGGTTCTTTTTCGCACGCCTACAGCGTCGGAAATTGAACTCGCCGAGGTTGTACCGGTTTCGCGATCTTTGGCAATCTCTTTCTCTTTCGCTCTGCCCCCCCCCCCCTCTCTCTTTCTCATCATACAAGTGCCATATTAAGAGAGGACATTATACGCAGATATTAAGAGAGGTGTAGTTTTTTTACTCTCTGGTGAAATAACGAAATTATTGTCCTTTAAAGTAATTACTCGATATTGTAGATTGGAGTTTGTAATGAAGGTGAATGCATTCAGCGTGAAGTGTGTCGCAAATGTGGCAATTTCACGATTCCTCAACGATTGGCGTCGTGCGAAGTCGGGTTGTTAATTGGTCGCGCGGGGGATAAAAACGACACCACTCGTACCAAATTGCATTACGTGAATAATAAAAAGAATCTGCAAATATACATGCAGCCTTTTATATGCGTGCTTGTATTTGTATGCATTTCCTTATCTGTATTTTGTAGTTTTAGCCTTAATTGTATATGTGTTTCCTAATGCATATCACTTAATTTCTTGACGCTCAATCTGACGCAAAATTGCTAGCTCGTCAGCTTTATTGAAATTAAAAATTGAGAGAGCCAAGTAAGATCTACCATCATTTCCGACTTGGCCATTCAATATAGCGGGAAAACGCAATGGCGTGATTACTCCATATGCAGCAGTTAATTATACTAAAGAATGAACATCAATTTATATGAAATAGATAATGAGACGATCTCATTCGGGGCGAAAATCATGGCAAATCGAATATCGCGATACTCCGCGAAGAGGATGGCCCGATGCCCTCGAGCGCCGTTGCCCCGAGCCCCAATGAGTTCCGTCATGGCACTCGCGCGCGGCAATTACTCTTCGCCTCCCCCCTCCTGCCCCGTCGCCACGGTCGCTACCATTTTCTCGACGTTAATTCGAGGACCGATCGGACGCAGACATCGGATATATTATAATCTACAGCGAATCTTTCGATGGGGAAGCCCTCCTACTCCTGCCCCTTCCCCGTCGTGTATCATCGAACGATACGCGGCGGTGTATTACCGAGCGGGAGACTGTGTGGGGAAAAAGAGGTCAGGGGGTGGAGAGGGAGGGACGCTTGAGTGTGGGAAGGAGGAGATGGCAGTGAAATGAGCCCGCGGTAGAGAGGGAAGCGCGATGGACATACGGAGAGAAGAAAGAGCTCGGCCCGGGGTGGGAAGAGAGAAAATATCAAGGGAGAGAGATTGAGAGTAGTGGGAAGGGAACCAATCGTCGCGACGACCCGGGCACTGTGCGGGCGCGCGCGCGCGCGCCCGCGCCCGCGCGTGGTAGAGCGTATGCGTGCGCGCGTATGTGTGCGGCGGCCGAATCAGGGCGAACACACGGACACGAGCCTTCTAGCGATGGCTACGCGTGCACGTGTGCGTGCACACATACAGGCCCCGCGTGGCCAATTCACGGACATAACTATATCGACCATGACTATATCGAGAGCCGGGACGAGCAGAGACGGGGAACGGGGACGGGACAGAGAGAACGACACGATGCCGAAGGAGCGCGAGCGAGAGAGAGAAAGAGGGGAGGGGCGGGGGGGGTTCTTCCCCCCCCTAGCGGGGGCAACGCGGCACATGCGCGGCCGCGGAGCGACGTTACGCGCGCCGACCGTACCCAGGCCAGACCAATTCCTCGGTAGCAGCCCGAATCATTAACTTGTTTCCCTGGCAACCCCGTCGCGACCCACACCATTGGCTGCGCCGCTTCTCCCACCCGCGCGCCATCGCGCACTACGGTCGAACGGCAAACTACAGATGCCGAGATACGCTCCATCGTCCACGCGACGTAGCATAGCGGTGCGGACTATAGGGTGACCTCCCCCTTCCCCTTGCTACCCGCCAATCCACCGACTCGACCTTCGTCAAGCGCGCACACACACGTGCATGTGCGCGCGCGCGCGCGCCCGTGTCCGCCGTTCACGCAGGGACTTGGTTACTGGGATTGGTACAGCCGGGGACTCTTCCTACCCTACGCGCGATACGTCCTACCGTCGCACCTCGCGTCGAAATCCGAGACCGGTATTGGGAGATGAACGATAAATCCGCTGTATCTCACGCGCGTTAGCGGCATTTCAGTCTTCCCTTTCAACTTCTGGCCGGGAAATGCCATTTTTCGAGGCGCAATCGCCGCCACGCGATGGGATCGGGTACCGTAGCAGAGGGGTTTTTAATCGACAACTTTTTTTTTAATTAATCGAGTACGCGGCTTGATTGCGTTCGACGGCCAAGACAAAACGTTCGCGTTTCTGCGTATAAAATGGCACGGCGATGAACATGTCACTTCGTCGTAGGTAAATACAGGTGGAGGAGTCTTAAGGGCCGAAGTTTTGACCGCCGAAACAACTCCGCGTCCTTGATCCACGTGAGGATGGATCCCCCGGTGCCTTGGGCGGAGCGGAATGCATTATGCATGGAGGCCTCGACATCAAAATTGGAGCTTTCCTCGGCACCGCGTCGCACAGCGGCGTCAAGGACGCGAGATGTCTACGTTCTTTGTTTTTCAAGTTTTGCTTATGTACCCTCGTTACATTAAAAAGAAGAAAAAAAAGAACGACTACGGACAGCTCGAACGCACCGATTGGACGGAAAATTTCCGCAAGAACGCAAAGAGCCAATTGCATGCGGCTCGCAAGTCCGGAGTTTCGAGCCGGGAAGCATAAACTCAGCTTATAGAGGCAGTTGCGCCAGGGCTGTGCCGCTACTGCGCGGGGCCACGGATATTAAATTTCACGTCAACTTCTCACCACATTACGTTACTATACACACTTTATTTTATATTTCGAATATTTTATTTTACTGTATACACGTTACTACGCTGTTAGATCAACAACGTTAAAATTATTATCATAACACTTATATTTTGACAATTTAAAAAAAGATTCAATTACAAAAATAAGACATTAAAAAATATCGAAGTTAAATATTGTAAGCGAAAAGAACTATGACATAATATAAAATCATGTGCACATATTAATTAAAATCAATATTCTATGAACATGAATTTATTGCGCATTTTAAATAAAAAATTCCATAAACAAAAAATGTTTGTTAGCTAAAGAAAGAAGAAATGTATTAGAATGAAGAATCTATATCATTTTATTCGCAACAAGACACATACAAACACATTCTCTTTCTCCTACTCTACTGCTTCCTTTCTTTTCCCCCTCCATGCCTCTTTCTCTCACATACAATATGTTTCGTTGAGGAGGGAAGGCCATCAATTTCAAAGAATATAAATCCAAGAACTAGCATTGACCATTAACAATGTGAAATCTTTTTGTATGCTCTTTTTTCAACAAATCGTGAATCCATAACAAGAAGAGACCCTAACACTTTAGAGAGGCAAGTCTGTTCACTTAGATTTCCGCATAGATCCCTTATAATTTAAAGCATAAATATACGAAAATAAGATATACACGATAAATATGTGCATTTTCAAATATTAATTTTACGAATGATAAAACATTTAAAATATATGATATTTTGATGTACGTTAAATATTATAATCATAACTAGTGAATTATTAAATATATGAATTATGCCAGAATTGGTCGACTTAATTATTGATTACAAAGGTTATAACTCTTTTCGTTTATGTAAATACCTAAAATAATGTGGGGTTGGACCAGTAAATAGTAATGACATCATACGGCGTCTCATATAACAAATAGCGTTACATGCATTCAAAGTGGCTGTTCATGTGGGACAAAAAGTTTCTCTAGAAATCTTGCTCGTGCAATCGCTGTTACGTAAAGTTTCTGCTGTTGATTAGCGCTATTGGTAATCGATCATGTGCTGTTTACGATATGATATGAATAATAGTAATATTATCAGTGGTAAATTTTTGTTACGTTCCTCACTGCAGTAAGAAATGAAAAGGACATTAGAAATATTGGTATCATTGATTTCTTTAAATACTTTTACTAAAGGAGATTCGTATTTAGCAACACAGACTTAGTTCTTTGTGTTGTAACATCTTTATAGAATCTCAAATCATACACACCACATAAAAAATAAATATATTTAATGTAAATAAATTACCAAATAGAGAAATTACAATTTATTTAAATAACAATCCTGTTAATTATAAATAAGTAGAACATTCGATTTCAATTTTTGGCTGCAACGTACTCTCACAATCAGTTGTTACAGAATATATCATTTAACAATATCAATTAGATAGCAATCTAATCAAACAACGTAACAAACAATTTACTCATTAATAACGTATCGAGTTTTCATTCGTGTCGTATTTATAAGTTATTTAATGTATAATTAAATATAAAAAAAAATTAATACTAAATGATGCCTGAAGGGACAAGAGGAAAAGAAAGGAGGGTGAAATTCTCAGGAGAGATTACGCGCGAGGCGGAACACCGGGGGCACCGGCAAAGCTCTGCACGTCTCTGGCGGTGCTATGCTGTGAAATATGGCATGGACTATAGATCTGTATACGTGCAGGAACAAATGGTCTGTGGCGCAGTGTGCGTGCACACGATAGGACCGACCGGGCGCGAGACGCCAGCGGCGAGGAAGGAGAGAAGGAGAGCGAGAACGGTCGGTACCGTTAGTGAGCATGCGCCTGTAGCCACCATATCCGATGGCTCCGCCTTTCTCGGCGCGGACGATGCCTTTGGGATTTGTCCCCGTCGAACCAATCAGCGGGCACGCTGGACATAGCGCGGCGCGCGGCGGGAGGGCCGTGACGGGAAGGGGTGGCTGCGCCAGGGGCGCGCGGGCAGTCGGAAGTAGTGTTTTATACTGTGTGGAACAGGGAGGCAGCTAGCAGCGAGCGGCAGCAACGGCAGTAGCGGCAGCATCATCGATAGCGCGGCGACTGGCGGCCGGATAACTATTATCGCCAATTCTGACGCGCTCGAGGCTGCGCTAACGCCGACTTCGCGGGGTGTTGTCGCGCGGCGAGAAGCGGCGAATTCGCGCCGGAGTGAACAACGCTCGGGAGCGAGCGAGAACGACACGCGCCGTTGGCATCGTGTGCTGCAACGGACAAGGTGGTGGTGCGAGTTGGGATACACACATACACACGTGCGTCTCGAACACACGCGCCCGGCCACTCGAAGCGCGTATAATAGGCCTGGACTGCGCAGTCGCACATGTGAGTACCTGATAGAGGTAGAGCGAGACGTCCATGTCCGAAGGCGCTCCGTCGACTCGTGGTGGCGTCATCGTCGTCGACGTCGTCGCCGTCGTCGTCGTCGTTGTCGCAGGGCGGCCGTGGGAGTGCGTCCACCCCTTCGCCATGCTCCTACGTGCCGCGCGAGAGAGAGATATCCAGGCGGATTGCTCGTGAACGCCGAGCGCGACAACGGCCCGTCGACACGATGCGACTGTTCGATAACACTGTGCTTTGTCTCTCCGTCTCTTTCTACTCGTTTCCCTCCTATCTATCGCCGTCTCTCTCGCACACTCGTCCCGTCGTTTCTCCGAACGGTGTTCTTCATTTTGTAATTCAATATGTCGGCGTCCGCGAGACGCCGCCACTTTGGATTCGTACGGGGGGGACGGGCCACCGCACACAACCGGATACGTGCGTGCGCGTGACTCCAACGTGTGCGTTTTATTGCATTTTCAGGCGAGCGTGTCGCGCGAAAAAAAAAGAGAAGTGTCTCTTCGCGTGCTCCCGAGCGCCGTGCGCTCTTGTTATCATGACCATCCGTTCGTAAATTGCCATTATGGCGAGAGATCCATGTGTTGGCCGTCCCCTATGCACAGTTGTTTTCTCTCTCTCTCTCTCTTCCCTCCCCTCTCCTAATTTTTCTCTCCCTTCTCCCATCCCCTCCCCGCCAAAGTACGCAACCCGCCTTTCAATCGCGTTTCCCGCTCTCCTTCGAGGCCTTCTCGACGCTCTTTCCCCCCTTCTTCCCTCTTTCTCCCTCTGCGCTATTACCGTGCTACTAATTATGGTGGGTATACGGGCCGGGGCGACATTTTGTTCCTTCGTTCGCGCGCGCGCGCACACGCACGCACGCACGCACATACGTACGCACGCACATGCCAAAATGGAATCGGCGTTTCGCGCCGGGATCGATATTCCCGGGATGGTTTTTATTCGAGTGACGGGAATATGCAGAACTCTGCGTTACCATGCGAGTCGAACCGCACATACTTTCGCCCCCCGCCCCTCCCCCTCTTATTCGCCTTTGAAGCACGACGCGTTCTCTCTCTCTCTCTCTCTCTCTCCCCCCCTGCCCCCCTTCCTCTCCTCTCTCTTTCTGTCTTCGCCGAGGAGCGTATCGAGCCCCAACGTTGCGAGGGGTGTCCCAGATGTGTAGAACCACCTTTTACACAGAGAGTTCGCGTATCGACATATACGCACATACATGTATATTCCACGTATTAGAGTTTGCTCCGAAATCAGATATCATTTCATTTCCGCAATGCAGAGGAGATCTCTCGGGGTCTGTCGCGAGTCGTTTTTCGTCGAGCGAATCAGCCGATACGGGAGATTGATTTTCCCATAGTGGAGAGGGGGAGGATAAATTTTTCAAAGTCACGTCTCTTCGCAGACGTAGCACCTCGCAAGCGCGCACAAAATTTTAATCTCCGTTCGATTTTAAGATCAAACTTGATTTACGCAGAGTCATCTCATCCCCAATAGTGAGTTTAATTGAGCAGATATTAAAAATCTCCGACTCTCGGGTCCGGGTTTTCATTTTCTGGTTAACTGTTAGCCAGAAGTCGATTCTTTGTCTCTTCTTAGATAATGTACAGAAAGAGAGTCGACTAACCTCTCTGGTTAAAGTTAACCAGGAAATGAAAAACCGGGTCTCACGGTTTTTGTCAAAGTGCAAAACAACCTCAGGTTAATTAAATGAAATTCTGACAGACTGCTGCACGTCTAAATAAAAGGAACTAAATTAAACCTTCCGTTATCATAAGAAACGCGAGTATTAACTGGGTTATTCTGTAAAAGCAGAATTATTACTCAATAATGACATACACACAATTGATTCTTAATGATAGTTTAGTATGGACATTAAGGTTCTAGAAAGTACAGTTTGTAACGTTCAGTTTTGTTTGTATTCGGGCTGTTTAAAGCCCGTATCAGACTACGGGTTGATATTGAGACGAGGGGGAAACCGCTGACCGAAATCTTGTACACCAATGCCCACTAATGCCCAGTGGGCATTACTTTATCTTATTATCTTCTTTTATCTTATTTTATCTTTAGAATGCCTCAGCAAGACGTAATGCCCCAAAAATGCCCTAGTAATGCCCAGTAATGCCGCAAATCTGTACACCACAATGCCCTCAGCGGTTTCCCCCTCGTATTGAGATTAGTAAACTTGACTCTGATTGGTCAAATTTCAATTTGCTCTCAATCTGATACGAGCTTAATAATACATTCTTACAATTTTTACATTTAAAGTGAAATATATGTATGTATTTTCTCTGAAAAGGGCCAAAGAAACTTAAAGAAATGGCGATTAATATTAAAACTACAACAGCACTGCAGCAATATTAGAGTAGAGTGATAGGTTTAGAATGCGATTGAATACAAAGTTGGAATATTATAAACTTGACGTTAAAAATGCGATAAAAAATAAATATACTACGCAGTCCACGCAAGTTGAGATTACAGCAGTAAATTCACAAACTTTGAATAAGTAATCTAATAATACCGATGCTAATAAGCGTTTCGGGATTGGCGAACAATCGACACGCGGTTTGCCGAGTGGAAAAATGTATAGAGGAATGTCCTCTATTGTGAGATAGAAGTCATAATATGAGATAGTAGGTTATTAACGTTCAAATTCGATCGCAAATCTTTTTTTCGCAACGATTACACGATGTAATAATCAATTTTCCACTAAACAAATTTCACTCCAAGGGCAATAAATTCATGGTGGAACCAACAGACGACTCCTATTAATTTAGCAGAAACCCCGCCAACTCGCTTTAGAAGCCTATCTCATAATAGGGGACTATACAAATTTACGCAAAAATGTTATTATCGAGACGTTTCACCGAACGTCGCTTAATCTTAATCTTAGTTTAATTGTTTGTCTACGTCTAAAGTAACAGTTGGAAAGAGACAAAGAACGAACCGAGCTAAGCTTAAACTTAAAAAAACGTTGGTGAAACCGGGCCTAAGTAGGCACGAAAGACCCAAGCCTGGACTCAGGCGGATTTAGGCGCATTCCTACATGCCTCGCGTTCATACATCGGTCTATTTTCATCCATTCATCGTTCGTCACGCGAGAATTGCAATAACAATAGAATAAAGTGACAAGACCGAGTAGAAAGGTATGTGAGTTTGGGCATATCTGCGGTTTCAACCTGCTCGGACGACGTTATATATATATAATATTTTTTTATCGCATTTTTAACGTCAAGATTATAACGTTCCAACCTTGTATTTAATCTCATTCGAATCCTTTCATCTTACTCCAACGTCGCTGCGGCGTCATTGTAGCTTCAGCATCAACGTGTATACTCAAACAGAAGCCGCTCCGACGACGTTGAAGTGAAACGAACGCGATTGCAGAGCGAAAAATGAAGGGGGAGAGCGACGCTGTGTAAGAGAGCCGGACGGAGATCAACATTTTTACATAATTCTGCAGAGTGTCCGTATTCTTCTGGCGAAAGGCGCGCTCCGTCCGTCGGAGATTAACACTTTTACGATATTCTGCAGTGTCCGTATTATTTCTGGGGAAAGGCGCGCTCCGTTGATCGGAGATTAACATTTTTACGATATTCTGCAGTGTCCGTATTCTTCTGGGGAAAGGCGCGCTCCGTTAAACAGATTAACGCATTTTTTTTCTCTCCCAGTATTCTGCAGTGTCTGTATTCTTCTGGGAAAACAGTTGATAAAATCACCACTTCCGCCGCGCGTCCACGCGTCCGCGCCGATATCTTCGTACGCTCCCGTACGTCCCGAGGCGCGCTCAGCCCATTAATCCTTATCTCGCGGCGAGCGCAAATTTGCGGCAAATAGCTATATTGCCGCGCGAAACGCGATACGATCCCCGTACGATTTGCGTATTCGATCGCACGGCGCGATCGCGGTGGTCCAAGCTCCGACGCGTGCACGAAGCGTAAGTCGATGTCGAGCCTAACCTATTCGAGGCCAGCTAAAGTTCAGGACTCCCTCCAGTAATCAAAAACAAGGGGGAGGGGGGGGGAGGAAACCTGGGGCGTATGAGAGTCAAAAATATAATGCGCAAATTGCGGGCACTTGCGGGACGTTGAACGCCAAGATAAAAAATTCAATAAGCAAAAAGAGAATTCGCTCCTAACCTATTCGCCTCCGTCCCGACCACGGCGAGAACCGGCCGTGGCCACGACGGGACGGACGTTCGGCCGGCGAGAGGAGCGACGTCGGGTGCGACGCGGACCGACGTCGAGCGGATCGGCCAAGCCGTGCGCTTCCGGCCGCGACGAGTCGTCGATAACCTTCGAGAGACTTGTACTTACTCTTGCCGGACCGAGAAGTCCCCGCGTGCGTGGCTGCCGCGAAAAAGAGCGAGGGGGGGAGGAGAGGAGATGCGTCGTAGGGCACGACTTGGCGGTTCCGAGTGCCAGGCGGCCTCGCTCGCGACGGCAATCCCCCTCGGGTCCGTCCGCGTGTACGCGTCACTGGTCCGCCCGGCGGAGGTTATGGCGCGGCGTCGATGGCTGCCTCTCGAACGCGCGAGTTCGATCGCGCCAGGCAGACACCCCACCGTGGTATTTCCATTCGAACACATGAGAGCAGATAACGCCGCGCGCGTGTAAACACGCGAGCGAGGAGAGCGCGTCGAACGTGTCGCCGATCGACGCGGTCGAGTCGCTCGCTCGCTCGCCAAGTGGCGAGTTGTTTAGCGGAGCGGTAGAGGATCGAGGAAAAATAATGTATCTCTCGGACGATGCGTGTGTCCCGCGCGGGGGACGACGGCGATGACGACGACGCGCGGGCAATGGGGGTGTTAATTTCCCTCGGTCTCTCTCACGTTGCAGATGCCCGGCGTGGCGGAGCGATTGACACTGGCATGAGCGCGAGCGTAAAATGGCAAGGAAAAAGGGCAGCGCGCGGTTGAACTGTGTCAGCGAGGGCCGCTTCTTCTTCTGAGAGGACGTCTCTGACTCCGATTACGCGAGTGTGCAAGGAAACATGACAGATGTTAAACCGATCGGGATTTCGACGTCGCAACCACAGCAGCAATCGCAACCGCAGCAACAGCCGCAACAAATGATGATCGCAACTCATGACCTACAGCAACAGCAGCAGCAGAATGTCCAGCAGCCGCAGCAACAACATGTGCAGCAGCAGCAGCAGCAGCCCCAGCAGGTCCAGCAGCAGGCAGCTCAGGTGCAGCAGCAGCAGCAGGTTCAGCCGCAGCAGCAGTTGCAGCAGCAGGTACAGCAGCAAGTCCAGTCGCAGCAGCAGATGCAGGTACAGCAGCAGGTGCAGCAGCAGCAACAGTCGCAGCAATCGCAGCAGCAGCAGCAAAATAACGGGCCTCACAATGTTGTACCTACGCAGGTTCAAGTGCAGCCGCAGGTAGCTGCCAGCATGCCGCAACAAGTAAATGTCCTTTCGTATTTCGGGTTGTTTCGCATTTCGAAATTATTGTATAAATAATTTTACGTTTCTTCTATTTTGTTATCGATTCTCTCAATTATACCTTGTGAATTGCCGTGTTAATTTTACTCTTTGGTTTTTTTTACCAAAGAGCGTGTCGACGCTCTTTTTGCATCTTATTGGTAAAAACAAGTTGCAGGGAGCTGTTGCGGTGTCGATGCAGCATCAGCAACAGGGGGTAGGTGGTGGTGTATCCATGACGTTATCCGGTCAGCAAGGTGCAACCACCATAACTACAATGGCTGCGCATCCGCAGGCGGTTCAAGTGATTCAGCAGCCAATTCAGAGTCAAGCTTATCATTTGCAACAATTGTACAATACTCAGGGTACGCCTTTGTTGATGCCAGGAAATCTCGCGCTCCACCCGGCGGGCCTAAATCCCTCTTCTATTCAGGTACAATTCAATTTTTATCTAGGGAGTTTCATATATGATAAAGTGATGCTTTCTAATAAAAAAAAAAGTAATACGAAGAGCCTTATACACACAAAGTGATGATATAATATCGGGAAAAGGTATTTCCCTATAAAACTTTTTCAATTAAAAATATAATTTACACAGTGCGTTTCATAATTATAGGACCAGTGTTTTACGCGTTTCTGGTACAACGAAAAATGATTGAAAAAAATGACATGTGATAAAAATATTAATGGTGCTGAATTTGGAATGAAATAAAAATTCAAAATTGTACTGTTTCATAGGTATAGAACCGCGCGAGAAAACCACTTTTATTCGAACACTAAATGTAAACAAACCTTCTTTCATCATTGGCTTGTCAGTGAGAGTTCAGTTCGAGAATTCAGTACCGCAGTAAACTGTTGAGTTTAACATACGAAAGAAAAGAAAGACGAGATTTTTGCCTCAGCAAAAGCTGTCATTAACAGACATTGCTCGTGTAATAGTTCAATTTCATTTTGCTGTGACAAATGTTTTTGAAAACGAGGTTGATTGGACCGCAAAAGTCGGAAAGAGAAAGGGTCGAAACAGAAGTTCTTAACCCGCGTCGCACACCGAATTATCAGAAATTCAGAATAGCGTAAGTGAAACCAAATCAGAGCTTCAATTGAATGTTTCCCGTTCAACGGTATTTCGCGTTCTAAAGAAAAGTCAGATTATCGAGAGACAAATAATGCGAAAGGCTCCACGACTTTTACCTCGCCATTTGGGAGCTCGACAAAATTTTGCGTTGGTGAATATCGCAAACAATTGGACCTCGGTTATTTTCTCAGATGAGAAGAAATTGAACTTAGACGGTCCTGGCGGTAATCGTTGCTACTGGAGGGATCTTTGAAAAGAGCCAGTGTATTTTTTGACGAGAAATTTTGGCGATGGCGGCCTAATGGTATGGGGAGCATTCTGCGCTAATAAAGTGCATGAATTGGCATTCCTCTCAACAAAAATGAACTCCACGGAGTACATCAATGTGCTGGAGCAGCATTTGCTACCGTTCATGGAAGAGAACAATGACGTTCAATTGTATTTACTTAGTTTAATTTTAATTAGTACTCAATTCCAGAAAAGCGACAAATCACACTGGTTCTATAATTATGGAACGCACTGCATTGTACATTTCTTATCAATAGAATAACATAAAACCGAAAAATTCTATGAAAAATAGTTGAACGTAAAATATGATACGTGCTAAAAGTATCATATTTTACGTCACCTCAGTAGGCAATAAATTGTTTCTCTCTCTTTAATAGTTTTTAATATCAGATTCGGTTCTAAAATTTTTCTAAAACTATTCTAAAATTTAAAAATTATATATTCTATAATTTTATTAACTATAAATTTTAGAACTTATTAACTAAAATTTTAAAAAACAATTCATACTTCATAGGTGATAGCAGCTGGAAAGCCGTTTCAATCTACAGCTCAACTAACTCCTCACATGTTGGCCACGACATCTTCACCTGGACAAGGAGGTGGTCATCCAGGCGCGGCTGGCACCAAAGTCCCGGGATTTCCCACCGGCTATTTACCAGTACCCACGTCCGCTAATCCCGGTGCTGGGCAGACGCTAGTGTTCGGTCAACTCGGTGTATTAGGCTCCCCGCAGCCACCGCCTTCGCTGCAGCAGCAGCAACAGCAGCAATCCACGAATAAACAAGATCAAGTACAAAAGGTGAATGCTGCATCTTTTATCCGACGATATTGAAGCTTCGTATCTTGCGTTTGTTTATCGCTTTTCAAACATTGTCATCCGCATTTTTGTACAAGATCTATTTCAAACAGTATACAGCATGCACCACTGGGACACCTTCGGGTGGAAGAACTGGTATGCAGTTTGCACCTTGGCAATTCGCCCCTCAAGTGTGGACCACTGGATTGCAACCGACTGGACCGACGCTCCTCACTGCCGCGCCTAATCAGATATTCATTCGCGGTCCTACGCAAACTGATATGTTTATACAAAGTCCACAGCCGATACAGGCGCACAATGGTCAGTAACTCATTCATTCGTTAATACATCATCATCAGTTCCTTTTACTCCTCACGGGAGCATAGGGCATCAACAAATCCTCTCCATCTGATTCGGTTTCCGGCGAACGCCTTCACCTATCTTCAGGTTTTTTCCATGGTTTTTGCCTCTGCCTCAACGGTTCGCCGCCAGGTCATCCTTGGTCTACCCCTCCTGCTCCTTCCTTGCGGGTTTCAATCCAGGGCCTCCCGCGCAACGTCGCCCTCTGGTTTCCTCAGCGTATGGCCTATCCACTTCCCATTTGTTAATACACTCAAACATAAAATAAGAATTTAGTTTTTGTTATTTCTAATTTTTTTTATATTTCTCTGCGACACGTGAACGAAAAGTTCACACAGAGAATAATGAGTTCAAAATGTCTTATTTTGTCGGATTAGCTCTCGCGGCGCAACAACAGATACAAGGTGTGCAACAGATTGCAACGGCGACCGGTGGAAAACCCGCTAAAGTGATGGATATCCAGCAGCAACAGCCCCAACAGGGTAAACAGAACACGGCCATACAGAGGCCGTTGAACATCCTACCGTCATCCTTGGCGGTACAGGCTGCCAATGTGCGAGCTGCTGCTAGTTCTGTCTCTACGCAGACAGTTTACGGAGTACAAGCTACAGTACAAACACAGGTTGCTATATTAACATTAGCGTGATATTTCATTTTTATCTCGAGAGTCCATTACACATAAAATGTATTATTCTATATTTAAAAAAAATAACGTAAAAACTAACTGAAAATTAATTCAAGTCCTACGATAGACTCTTAACTTTGTAACTCGTGCATAACGACTTGCATGACAATAATCTATACATAATCTATACTTATATTTATTAGCACAATAGAAGCAGTAAGAAAATAGTGGACAATTATCTAATCAACCATTTGTTAAATATTTAGGGTAAGAGTGGCGGTGGTGGCGGGAAAGGCCGTGGCAAGCCGGTACAATCTCCGCAACAGCAGCAACAGCAACAGCCACAACAGCAGCAGCAGCAAGCCCAACCAACGATACAGCATCAGCAAGTCTTCATACAACAGAAGCAGCACACGCAGCAGCAACAACAGCAGCTGCAACAACAATACCAACAAGTGCAATCGTCCCCAATACAAGCTAAACCTATCATGAGTAAGAGCGCTTATTAAAGTTGATATTAATACGATATTTATCAAAATGTCAAGATAAAGAGCTGTTGGTATGAAATATAGAAACTACATCTGACAGTATTAAAATTACTACAAAAATGTTTTGTTACGTAGCGAATATGACGTTGCAACAACCACCACCTGGCGTTGTCCTGGGAGCGGATCGTTCCATTATGCCGGTAGTCTCGGTGGGCGGAGTTGGAGTCGGGATCGCTGCCACGTCGCAGATGAATCCAATGTCGCAACCTCAGATGTCGACTATGCAGCAGCTACCTTTACCGGTACTGATTAAGTTGCTACGCTGCTTCGGAAGTTATTGGCTTTGTGGAGCTATGCACAATTACAAAACGATAAAACTGTTCTTTTCTTTCCCTCGGCAGCATAAAGAATGCGAAATCAAGAATGATAATATACTGTTTTTTTTCCCTAGGCAATCAATCCGACGATTATTGGTAATCAAATAATGAGCGGTGCATCGCAAGTTCAGGCGATGCCGATCGTGCATGCGACGCAGGATCAGTCGACACACGACAACACCAACTCGACGATAATGATTACGTCGCCGGATCGTAATCCGCAGGCAGAGTGTTCTTTGATATTGCCATCTACCACAAATCCCCCGTTAATGACCGACGATAGCGTGAAGATAGTTGCGAAGAAGGAAGACATACCTGTCACTACAGAAGATGTCGCGGCGGCACCTCAGTCGGAGATAACTGGTATTAACCTTGTTTTATTATAGATAGGAAATTTATTAGACGCAATTCAAATGAATATTTAAATCAATGATAGGTATTTTTCAAAAAACGACCTACACTGGCCAATGCCTTCATTGAACATAAAAACTAGTTTTTGTAGGTCGTTTTGTGAAAGATACTTATCATTGTTTTGAATTGCTGGCGATATCACATATCTACCTCAGAATATTTAAATGATTTCGTGATTGATTGTACGTAGATGGAGATCAAAGTAAGATAATAAAAGAAGAGGAAGCGACTGCTCCAAAAGTGGACGAGAAACAGTGCAATAACCCGTTAACAGGGCTTGCCAATGCAGTGAACGCGATTACGAACGGCGTGGTTGGCGATGAGTCACAGACCATACCGATCTCCGCGACAGTCATAGTGAATAGTAAACAAGCACCGCCTAAAGCCATGGTTAAGCCTCAGGTCCTTACGCACGTGATAGAAGGATTTGTGATACAGGAAGGTACATATTATATAGTCGTATCTTTATCAATTATGTTGTATTAAATGTTACCGCGTTACAAATATGATTGTTTTTTTTCTATCTACGCTGCAGCGTCTGAACCGTTTGCAGTGAGTCAGGATATTACCAATATTCTTAATCGAAGTAACACAGTCGTGGAAAAGGAGGCACACGAAGAGCCGCCAAGTAAGTAAATTATGAGTGATTAATGTTGCGCTCATAGTTGAAGCTAATAATCAAAATTTGCGTTACAGAGAAGAAACTTTGTACTAGTTATTTGAACGAAGAGGACGGCATCAGCGGCCAAATCAGTAAGTGCGAAAGCTGCGGTAATATGATCGACGAACAAAACGTCAAGTTGAAAAAGGAAAAACGATTCTGCTCGTCGATGTGCGCAAAGAGGTGAGCACTTTATATAACATACATCGAGTGTTGCTTGTCGAATTTTTTATTCTTAACCTTCTTTCTCGCAAATGTCTTTTTTAACTGACAACTTAATATAATAGGATAACTGCTAGAATGCATATCTTGGGCCCAGTTTTACCAACGTCGCTTAACTTTAAGCTTAACTTAATTCACGTTTGTCTGTTTCTAAAGTAACAGTTGGAAAGAGACAAAGAACGAATTAAACTAAGCTTAATGTTAAGCGACGTTTGGCGAAACCGGTACTTAATATTATTATAAACAAATTTTAATCATAAAAGGCGAACGTTTCGACATACATTGTCTTCTACTTCAAACGTTCAACATTAACATAAAATGTTACTTTTATTTTTAATTTTTAATCTATTCACTTCGATATATATATATTTAATGTTTAATTTATTTTATATTATGCGCTGAGAAAGATAATGCATAACAAAACATTTACCTTTTATGATTAAAATTTGTTTATAATTATATTGAGATAAGTATTCTAACCGTTACTCTTTGCTTGTTGATATTATTTACCTTTCCTCTGCTTATTTGTTCATACAACGAGTATATTTACCAATTATTTTCCATTCTTATCTTAATTACAGTAAAAAACGTGAAACGCGAGAACGCGATGCTCCGGAGAAACAATGGACTGAAATAGAGACTGAAATGAAAACCGTTGATAACGACATGACGAAGAAGAACGGCGAGGAGAAACCATTGTCTACGACTACCACATCCTCCGCCGACGAATCACTGCCGAAAGTGAATCCGGTTAAATGGACGGTAATGATATGTTTTTATGAGATTTTTCATTAAAATATATGCGAGTGTCTTCGCGAACGAAATTGTGACAAATTATGTGTATTTCGCGCAGGTGGGTGAGGTCTGCGAGTTCATACGCGGCCTACCAGGATGCGCCGATTACGCGGAGGACTTTGCTATACAGGAGATCGACGGCCAGGCTCTTATGCTGTTGAAAGAAGACCATCTGATGTCGGCAATGAGCATCAAATTAGGTCCGGCATTAAAGATCGTCGCCAGGATCGATTCGATGCGCGTAGAGTCGAACTCGAATCCTTCCTCGAATAATTCATAACCGTCTGTTTATTAATAGCGGATTTCCAAAAAAAGTGTTTCCAGAACGTTTCTAGCCTGTGGGCTACAGGGTTTGTGCAAGTATTTGATTGATTGTAAGTGTATAGGATTAAATATGTTTTAATTGCGCAACATCTAAGAGTATGGACACGGACGATTCTCATATCGATATGTTTTACCAAACGCTACTTTGTACATTGCGACTTCTTTGATTTATCTCTGGAACAAATTATATTATGTACTTTAGTTTGCACAATTAATTTCAAAAGAGAGGTAGCAATCCATTAAAGCTGTCCATTTTTTAATTTAAATGTATGGATCAAAGTAAAAAAAACAGTTCACTTATTGGTATTTTACTTTATGGCGAAAAATGAGGATACTTGTATACTATGCGTATGACGGATACTCGTGAATATAATAGATTCTATAAGATACCTCGTTTAACAAATTGTTCTTTAGAATTTCTTTTAAAAAAACTTTATTTAAGAGTATCATTCATACGTTATTTATAATTTGATTTTTAATGTATTTATTCAATCTGATAGCGATTTAAACGAATTTAAGGATTGTCATATCCTTTTTTTTTTTAGAAACTACATTATCGAGTACACGTTTATTTTACGCACAAAAAATTGGATTTGGGTGGAAATTGTACTCTGGAGATACTAAACATTAAACAATACGTTTGAATTTGTTTAGTTGTAGTGGGTGCGACATCGATGTTTAAAGATGTGTGCATTTATAACATCGCGCAGTGATCATATGGTTAGATGATCTCAATGATTTTACTGATTCTGATGAATAGAACGTGTGTGAAAAGATTTCATTTGACATGTACTACGAGGATTTTCTCAAAGCGTACTATTTTGTGAAACTGAGACTGTCAAAGACTAGAGTACAAATTGTGTCCATTATGCAAAAGCATATATTGTACATATGAAAAGGAGGATACAATACAGCACGCTGTATTTTGTACTCAAAGAGTAAATACCACCGGTTGACGTACAAAATGCATTGCCTTCGATACAACTTACAGATAATAGTCGCAGTTACTGTCGCGTTAAGAATGTCGATATTTTTCTTCTCACCGGAACGATTTGACTAACTCGTTCTTACGCGCTGGTATTGGAGGAAGAAAAAACGAAACTGCCTGCTTGTGTCATTCGTATTTTCATACATATACCTACGTGTTTTTGTAAGACGTAAAACTTGACCGATACAGATGTAAATAGTAGATCTAGAACGAATTATTTATTGTATAAAATTTTATGACATAAGATTTTAGTTTCCAAGAGTTGCGCTCCAATTGTCATGGTTCTTGGTCTAATAGAAGAGAAGTAATTATCTTATTCTATAAGAGAAATTATAAATCTCTGTCATTAAGGATATAACATTATGACGAAGTGATAAGTCGGGGAAAGAATTGTCACTATTTTTAGTGTTGAACAACGTCTTTTCAACAAAATAAAATTTGATATATTAATTTTTAGTACGTCGATACATTGGCATGTTTTTAAAACTCGCTGTAAATATATATTCATTATATAAATTCACACGCATAACCGTCAATTCTGGAGCTAACCGAGGCGAAGGTTGCTGCTTTTATATATTTCGTACTGTAAGAGTATTAAAATTAATTTTGTACGTATTGCGAAAAGCAACTACGAGATGAGATTCCAAATTCTACAGGATCCGTCGAGTTTTGGATTGCACAATTGATTTGCGATGCGTTTTACGCGAATGTTAAATGTAGTAATAAATGTCTTTTTGTACGTTGTAAAAGAGAATCTTAGCGGAGGAAGCAATATAGCTCGTAAACAAACCGTATAACATTACTAAATTTATCTCACGATCTTATTCATGCCTATTGATAGAAAGTAGAGTCTCTGCATAACGCAACTTGAATATTCTGTGCACATGCAAATTTTTTTACTCAGATTCGGTTGCACCAACACACAATGCGAGCTTGTTAACTCTGCCTCCGAGAAAATCGTTATCTTCCATATTGTATACATTAATTAAAAAATTATATTTCCTTCCTATGTTTTTCTATAAGGCTCCTGTACCAAGAAAAAAAACATAGGCACGTGAAAGGCATTCGATTTGTTTAACGCTAATTGAGATTGGTGCAACTGTGGCTGACTCATAGTTTTCGCGAATGCTGAAATTCCAGGTTCAAAATTTAGCCTCGTTTTCGGTGAAGTTTTGAGACAACTCAGGGCCAAATGTTTCACAATATACTTTTTTATAATGGAGAGATACGCTCTGCAATTGCATAAAACTGAAATATTATTATACTATTGGGAAAGCAGGGGTTGAATAACTGCAATTAAAACTTCTCGAATAAAGAAAGTGTAATGAATTTACGAGTCGATTAATTCCAGGAGGATCCTTGTTTAATTCAAACTTTCCTTCAAAGTATGCTTTCTTGCAAATGACATTCGTATTTTCTACAATTCGTAATTTCTTGTAATCTAATACGTCGTCCAATTAAATTTTCTTCTTAAATATACAATGAAGACTTGCAACTCGAAATTTGTGATAATCGAGATACAAAAGTTAGTAGCGAACAAAATACATTTAACGTTACATCACACAAAATATATATATAATAAATCTATAAAGTTTATTTACAAACAATAAGCATAATTTTAATTATTATGCTGCTTACATATGTACACAGGTTCGTTTACAGGTGTCACTCGTTACGTGTGTCACTCGACGTTTCCATCTCCCTAGTCCGTGCGTTAAAAGAATCGCCGTCTCGACCGTGTGGTGTTCTACGTCGACAATTCAACGCTCGGAGCAGAATCTTCTATGTTCCTACCCTCGAGCAGCAGGTCGTCCTGGAGCAGTTTACCCTGCGCCTGCTGCAGGGGCCGAACGTATCTAAAGAACTCGTACGTTTTATAGCCGAGACCGAGGCAGGCCAGCACCGTGACGCCCATGCAGACCTTCACGACGCCCCTGTGCATCTTGTCGAACAGCCTCTCCCTCCTTCTTTTCTTTTGAAAGTCCCGATCCATCGCCGGCAAATACCGCTCGCTCGTTCACTCGCTGAAAACAACATTACGTAAACACCAGGACGTCTCGGAGCGCGGATAACCTCGAAACTTCGGCACGACAACGTCGCGGGCGGTTAAACTTTACCGTGCCTGCGGTAAGGCGGCTCACCTGAAAAGCGTCGACCACTCGAGCTCGTTGACTCTTCAGTCAACAGCAGACCACGGCAGACTGAATTTTCCTCTCAACCGGCTTCCCCAAACGTTCGGTGAATCCAACGAATCGAAACTTTCGGAGACGCGAGGGACGCAAGTGTCGCGCCGCCGCGTATCGATACCACGTGGGATCGAGTACCGCGATCCTCCACTACGCGGCGCTACGATTCGCGAAGATAATTTCAAAACCTGCGCACAAAAGAGGAGATATTAGGAGAGAAAAGAAATATAGGTAAATATTAAATCTACATATTGTTTAAATTCATAAGCTAAAACATATTTTGGATTTAAGGCTGTATGGCACAATTTTACATTTATATCTTGTATTTTATTCTATTTTATTAAGTTATATCCTATTTCAAAACGTTATATTTTATTACATTACGTTATATTCTATTTTATTACGTTTAATTTATGTTATAGTCTCCTTTCTTTTTTTCCCCTCTTCTAATATTTAATATTTCTCATCTACTTATTAGGTGCTTTTATGCCAACATTTGAGCACAGTCGACAATATGCGGCTCAGTCTCCATCGTAACAGTTTGTTCCAGTCAGATGCTGCTACAGATTGTGGATCGCAGTGTCAAAAACAATGAAACCTGTTGGTGAGTTGTATAAATTTTATTGAACACATTTTGTTATAAATATGTTACAAAGAAATTTCTGAAATAGTTTGTAATACGTGTCAATTTATTATCCTTTTAATTGTAATACAAGGAAAAATTTAACAAAATAACATTTTCTTCCCTTACATCTACTATGTATGTACATACGAGAGAATTATTGCGGGGATAAAACTCGAGTTCCCTTCAATTCAAGAGTGACAAGTGATACATAATACAATTCACAAAATACACTCACATCTGGAGGACTGTACAAAGTTTTATGAAATTTAAAAGTCAGTTTAGGCATTTGATGGACAAATTGGAAGCATTCGTACAAGAAACTCTTTATATGGAAAACTATTTTTTGCTCTTTTTATATTAAGCTTAAATTGTCGGAATCACAGCCCTATTATCTAATTGTAAGAAATGCGATTAAAAATCAAGTTCCGTTGCATGAACCACCGTCAAATAAAGGAAGTTTAGCGACGAGACTTACAAATACAATCCCGAATCCTCTGCCTTCTAATTCTTTAAAAACTCATCAAATATCTTTGAATCGATGTCCAACACTATCTCGTCCAGAGACGGGCCTTCTGCAGAGACTGGTAACTCTAAATATAAAACAGACAAATTAATCATATCAAGACCACAAAATGATGATTGCGTAGTTGCTGAAATTTAACGACTGTCATCTTGTAACGAATAAACCAAAGAAAGTAAAAGAAGCATTGCTTGCTGCGGAAGAAACCTGTCATTTTTAAGGAATGTACATGTATTAACTTGTAAATTATAAGAATGAATTCAGCTGATTGCATGGACCAAGCTTGCAAAATAATTGATCTTAAGTCGCACAATAATCGCGATGCTGTTTTGATATCCATTAAACACACCTTCGCACTTTTCATTTCATTCACTTTAATGCACGCATGTTCTTTTTCTTTCTTTTTCTCTTTCAATTTCTTTTGCTGGTTTAATTCGTATTGCGAAAGTCTCTCCGTGTGCTCGTGAGAGCATACAGAAATAAAAGACATACTTGGTATAGATCCAGTTGCCTTGTACTCCTCAATATCCTCTTTAAAAGCTTCCTCAAAGGTCTCCCGCCGCTCTTTCAATTTCTTTTGCTGGTTTAATTCGTGTTGCGAAAGTCTCTCCGTGTGCTCGTTAGCTAGCTGCGCTAAAAAATGAATTTGAAATAAATCACACGAAGATCTCGATTGGAGTTGCTTCCTTTCGTCGGGCGACATACCTTTGAAACTATTCAATTCTATCAGTTTCTTCTCTTTATACAACGCCAGTTGGAACCTGTGATCCAACTGCCGACTCTGTAAATCTAACATTTCATTTAGGTCTTCCAGTCGGTACAAGGCTCCTTCAACTTCCTCGAACATTTCTTGTAAATTTCCTTAGACATAAATAAACAATAATTCTAGAGATTCGGTCTCCATTCGCGTCTTAACTCATCGTGTCTCTGCAAAAGAAAACTACCTATTTGGTCCATGAGATCTTGAATCGAATTATTAATCTTTGGAATATAAGCCAAGGTGCTATTTAAACACGTAACGTTGCTCCACTCGCGTTGAAGCTTCTCGTAAATAGAGGATATCAGCGCATCCGCTTCCTGAGCCTTCCCCGCATTTTCCTCCACGAGCTCGTGAAGCTCGTTCCACTGCAGTTGAAAGTGATGCAAAACGTCCGCCCCAGCGTCATAATTTACATTCTTCACATTGGCTGGCTTCTTGCTCTTTGGTTGCTCGGTGGTGGACAATCCGCGTATACTAAAATCATTGATTGTATTCTGGAGTCTTAGAGCCTGAGCAGAATCGCTGTCCTGTACTTTATTATCCACAGTCTCTACTCAGTCGCGATAAGAGACAGTAGACACAGAAAATGTCTCACCTGGCAGATATACCTTCCTGCACCGTCTGAAACTTGCTACGTAGTGAACCAAACATGCTTTATTGTCTCAGTGGTGAACATTCACTGTCGATGGACCTTCAATGCGCCTCTAGATTCAGGCTGCCTGCACTGAATGACAAAGTTATTTCAATTTTATGACACAGATGTTGCAGCGAACGAAACGAATATATTTAATACCAATTTCAGGAAAGTGCTCTCAACCTCGCCGTATCATGTTACGGTTACATTTGCGCGGCAAATTGTGATAATTTATAAAAATCGTGATTTTCTACGTACATGTCTATTCACATAAAATTCAGCTGTAAATATCTTTGCCTACTCACAGGCACGTTCAACAAATCCTGTCAATTATATTCAATTAATCGCGTGTTTACCGCCAGACCAATTAATTTTACTTGTTCGACAACATAAATACGCCATTCTCGTCAACAAACGAGATTTTCGTACGTCCGTCATCACACGCTTTGAAACTATAATACAATATCGCAATTAGTTATTAGCAGTCAGCCGGGAAACAAAAGACGACGGAAACTTTGTTTACACCGTCAGATACCGCGTGAAAAGGTTTCTGTTTGCGCTTGATCGAAACTACAGCTCATCAGCCGTCAACTAATTGACGGTCGACGTGTCATTGTCAATTCGGACCTCGGCGTCCTCAGCTCAGTTGTTTACAAAACATCGCACTCCTGTTAGCTGATAAACGTTAAATCTCCTTCCGCGTATCAAGCGGTACGACAGAAAACCGACAGATCTGGAACTTAACAGAAAAGTCTTCTCTCTCTTCGAGAAAATAAAATTACATCGAAATCCAAAGTGCGAGAACTTGGCTCGATAATTTGTCTCGAATTGTCGCGGAGATGAGACGACAAGCAAGATTCCCTCACCTGCACTCTCTGGCACTTTATGTACTCGGAAACTATATTGCGGTACAGCTGGGACCACTGAGTATATACAGAGAGAAACCTGAGTATCCAGTATCCCCCTCGGGCGACGCCAGCGCCGAAAGTGATAAAATTTTGATTGACGATTTTGCGATAATGTCGGCCCACGTTCGGTGACGTAATCAAGCCTAGTTCGGACTGCTAATAACTAATTCCTTATCATAGAACTTATAGCAAGGAAGGGGAATAGCATATATGTACTTTCCGTGAGCCGAAACTGTGTCCAACATCTTCGCGACAAAGATAGATAGAAGACGACTTTGGTCCGTTATGCGCATGCGTTAAATCGTACACACACGAAAATGCACAATATACGTATGTACACAATCTACAAATCAATCTCGCTTTCGCTACTCATGCGCAGTTCGAGTAAAAGTCATAGAACGAGACAGAATGATAGAAAGACAGATAGATAATAGCCGCGTTCAGCAGACACAACTGTTGAGTGAGCGCTCAATGATTTCTTAACATGATTGGCTGGAACTAAAGGTATTAGCCAATCATACTGAGCGCTCACTCAACAGTTGTGTCTGCTGAACGCGGCCAATAATTATTATTCTGTTAAGAGGATGCTAAAGTCGTCTGTTTTACCGACACATTTGAATATAGTTTTTGCGCTGCTGAATCTTTTTATTAGTTTTTACGCCTAAAATAATATCAGGATAAGTTGCGGACCGCATAGCAGAACGTTTTTATACTTGAAACACTCGGGTAAGAAGTCTAAGTCCCAGTCTACAATAGAGATTTAAGCCCTAAGTCCCAGTCTACAATAGATGATTTAAGCCCTAAGCTTTAAGAAATTGGCCAATCACGGTCAAATACGAGTAGAATGCGCGACTGTGATTAGTCAATTTCTTAAGGCTTAGGGCTTAAATCTCTATTGTAGACTGGGACTAAGCCTTAAGTCCCAGTCTACAATAGATGATTTAAGGCTTAAATCATCTATTGTAGACTGGGACTAATGAGAAAGATATTGATATTTGAAATTTTCGATTTTTTAATCGTGAGCAATTTGAATTTGGCTTTATAAAATTACAAAATTCTTCCACGCGATTACAGTTCGCGTAAAAACAAAGCGGGGGGTTCACGACTTTATATAAAAAACGAAGAGAAATTAAAAATATCAGCATGTGAAGCCTAACCACAATTATTTATAAAGCGATATTTTTAATTTCTCTACGTTTTTTATATAAAGTCATGAATCCCCCGCTTTGTCTTTACGCGTACTGTAATCGCGTGGAAGAATTTTGTAATTTTATAAAGCCAAATTCAAATTGCTCACGATTAAAAAATTGAAAATTTCAAATACCAATATCTTTCTCATTAGACTTCTGACCCGAGTGTTTCAAGTATAAAAACGTTCTGCTATGCGGTCCGCAACTTATCCTGGTATTATTTTAGGCGTAAAAAGTAATAAAAAGATTCAGCAGCGCAAAAACTATATTCGAATGTGTCGGAGGGAGCCAACACGGCCACGACAGATAGATAAACGAGATAGAAAATAGTTTCTGGGTGCGTTCTGTTAGGCATCGGATTTGGCAACCGCTGCACATCGGATCTGCCGGCTGCATAGCTGATTTGAGAGAACGGAGTTTTGCGCTCATATTCTCAAACGCGCGGTATTTGTATTGGAACGATACAGAGAAAACTTGTATACTTCTACAACGTCTATTGGTTCGTCGTGGCCGTGTTGGCTACCGTTTATTGGTTGCCGGGCGCCATAATTAGAAGAAGTGTCCACGTACTGCAAACTTGCGCAGTTCACAGATACAAACTTCCGCTGTGGTACCGATTGCGGCACGTGTTGCTGTAGAGACCCAGAGAGTAGTCCCAGACTTTACCTTGCTACTGATGGAGTAAGTATAGTTGCAGCATAGCTGCCTCGTTATCTTTCGGGTTTCGTATATTCATAGATATTTATAAAATTTCATTATCTTTATGCACAGAATTGATATAATTAAATTAAGAGCAAGTCGACGTCGAGCTAACGTCCAATTTTGCCTGGTTAATCGTATCTTTTTCAACTTGAAACAATCGAGAAATGGCCGGCGCGGAGTCTGTGGTGCAAAGATTTAAGTTGGATCCGGACTGCGAATTGAGGTTCGAGGTGAAGAGCAAAAATAAGGTTACATTGGAGGTAATGAGAAGCGATTCCTCTTTGACCTTACGAACTTACTTATTCTGTTATTAGATGGCAAAATTTTGTTATTGCAGTTAATAAGTGGTCTGGCGGAAGTTTTTGGTACGGAATTGGTACAGGGGAAAAAATATGAGTTTACCACTGAAGCAAATATCGCGGTTTACGCGCCTTGGCACGATTGTGTCGTTGAATTAGTTGGACTGCCAGGCTCCAGCTACATGGCGAAGAATACGCCTATGCGTATATACTTGAATTGCCACGAGGTGCTAGAGCGAATGAGACAGACTGCGGCGTATAAAGACACTGTAGGTCCAGTAACAATGGTTGTGGGTTCTCACAACGTCGGCAAGTCTACACTTTGTAAAATACTGCTGAACCATGCCGTTAGAAAGAACAGAAGGCCGATTTTCGTCGATCTAGACGTCAGTCAGGGACATATATCGGTTCCTGGCACTATAAGTGCTTTGTTGATGGAACATACGTCCGATGTAGTAAAGGGTTTCAGTCAAAAAGTTCCAGTGGTCTTCCACTTTGGACATAAAACGCCACACGCTAACGTAATGTTGTACAGATTACTTGTAATGCAGTTAGCGACGATTTGCAAAGCTAAGTTACAAGCCGACTACAAGAAGGCTAAAGTGTCTGGAATTGTCATTAATACGTTTGGTTGTATCAAGAAGGATGATTACTCTTTACTCGCGCATGCCGTGGAGGAGTTTAAAGTGGACACGATTCTCGTGTTGGATGAAGAGAGTCTCTACTATGAATTGGTGAAAGATCTGTCGGATTTGGTAAAGGTGATCATTCTGCCGATGAGCGACGGAGTCGTCGAGAGGAGTCAAGATCAAAGAACCGAAGCGAATAATCAGAGCATTAAGAAATTTTTCTATGGTTCTCAGATTCTGTTGTATTCACATAGCTTCGTGTTTAATTGGAGCGATATAAAATTATACAAGTATGGGGCACCCGTACCGACGTGTTGTGCGCCGTTAGACAAAGCGAGGGATAACCCCACGAAATTGGTACCTGTTGCGCTAGGACCCCATTTGTTGCATCGCTTGCTGTCCGTTTCCTTTACCGATAATCCTGAGACTGTCTTACGGACTACCATATCCGGATTCGTCTGTGTGTTAGTATATTCGACATTTCAATATTTGTAGTTAATAGTAGTAATTCTTTGCTTTCATGAAAATATCTTCTACATTTACAGGACTGATGTGAATGTCGAGAAGCAGACGCTTACACTACTTGCCTCGCAATCTACATCATTACTAAATAAAGCGCTAATATTGTCGGATATAGAATTTATAGCTAGCAATTATGAACCACATATAAAGTAAACATTTTTTATCAGAAACATTTTTTCTAATGAGATTATACATTTTTACCTGACGCTTATAAGTTACAAGTTTAAGACGCAAGTATAAAGCCAACGGCACACGGTATTATTTTTCCTACTGGATTGCTTACGAGAGCCAACCAGGATTTAGCTTCAAGTCACCTGATCTAAAACTCTGCATCCTGATTGGCTCTCGTAAGCAATCCAGTAGGAAAAATAGTACCGTGTGCCGTTGGCTTAAATCATGTAAACTTTTATAAAAAGGAGCATTTATTGAATACAAAACCAAAAACTTTCTAGTATCATTAAAGCCAACGGCACACGATACTATTTTTCCTACGGGATTGCTTACGAGAGCCAATCAGGACGCAGAGTTTTCGATCAGGTGACTCAAAGCTGAATCCTGGTTGGCTCTCGTAAGCAATCCAGTAGGAAAAATAGTATCGTGTGCCGTTGGCTTAATACTATTCCCTCTTGATTCCATAACGCAATAGCTGTATACGCATGGTATAAGGCCGTCTAGACTAAAGTCCCTGTAATAAGAGTTCTATTTCGACATAACATGGGGTTTGTTTTCTGTTCCTGCACTGGTGAACTAGTGCAGTAAGCTAGAATGAGAAAAAATATGCTTGTCTTACTCCAATTTATTGCACTAGTTCACTAGTGTAGGAACAGAAAACAAGCCTAATGTGTCATTATCGCTGTACTGTTTAACTAGGGCCAGTTAATTGCAGCAGTGCAGCGATAAAGCCTATCACACGATGCCAGGCAACAGGAACAGGGAATAGAATTTCTGACGCGTTGGATTGGTTGGAAGAAAATTTCCGACGAATCCAACGCGTCAAAAATTCTATTCTCTATTCCTATTGCCTGTTGCCTGGCATTGTGTGATAGGCTTAACTTCTGCTGGACACAGGCAATGAGCTGCGCTAAGTGTAGAAGCGTCGCACCTAAGTGCAAGCGGTGTAAGGAAAAAATCAGATGGCCGGCAATTTCGAAGCAGATGTAAACAAATTAAATATTTATAGGCATAAGAATAAATATAAGGTAGGAGCTTTTCTGTGAATCTAGAAAAGATTTTGCAGCATTTATATTTTAATGCCGTTGAAAAAGTAATAACAGTCAACTGTCAAATTTATAAGGTTAGAAAATCTTATGCTGTGATGTATAATAATTAATAATATATAATACTAACAGTTTTTAAATATTTTTTTGTCAACCAGCAATTGCGCATTCAGAAAGCGAGTGAGAAAAAGAAGTGCGAGAAGCGAACCGGCCTGTCAATTGGATATATCGAGTTGCGCCGGAGTCATTGATCAGCCGAAGCGTATTCAGGATGGAAATAACAGACGTCCGACGAGTCGCAGGATTTGGCAGACTTTCTTTCGGCCCTTCGAGACACACTGGCAGTTGCTTGGAATCAATCGAAATTTGCTGCTTGACATATTGGTCTAGCAGCCCTTTCATTAGGCGAACTAATTGGAACTAGGTAAGCGAGCTGATTGCAGTATGTTGGTAGATGAGCAATAAGTTGTATCATTAAACTGGAATGAGTTGCATCTGCATACACTTTTATCATATTGGCAAAGCCTACTAATGTTACTTGATGGCAAATTGTCAGCGGAATTCAAGATATCTGTTGAATGTGGATTTTGTTCTATTTCTGTTGCCGATCTATGTGGAATTGTACGGCAAATATGTCATTCGCTTGATTGCGGCCACCAATCAGTTATTACAGTTTGTTAACAAATTGTATTTCTGCCAGCATTCTGACTGCAGTGTATTGTGTACGCTAGATTCCGTATTGGTAGTTTATTTTTAACGGATTTGAAAATTTTCAATGTATGTATCTCAATGGGAGATTGCTAAGTGTAGAATTTAACTTCTGCATCTTAATTTCCCAAATTTTTATATGCTTAGATGATACATAAAAAAATTTATGAGCCTGAATGGTAAATCACTGTGTTTGTTACGTATTACGCACGGCATAACACAGCAAAAAAATTGCTCTTGATCACTTAGATTCCAGCAATATATCAAAGTTGGGTAAGTTGGTTCGTTATCTTTATTTGATATTTATTTTACTAGTGTAATGTAATTTAACAATAAGAAAATATATGAAAAAATTACGTTAAATATGTAATTTTATAATTTTTAAATTATATTAAACATAATTATATTATTAAATATATAAATATACAATGTTATTTGTAGATAGAAACTGGTAGATTCAAGAAATTTGTAAACAGAACAAAATGTGGAACTGAAGAAATTCAACAGTGGCTGAAGTGTGTCTAGTGAATTGAAAGAAGATCACAAGCAGGTACTAAAAATGACAAGAAAGGCTAAAACTCAGAATATGTGTATAAGAAAATAATCAATGATAAAGGAGTTAAAATATAAACAAGATCTTATCACTAAAGATTTTATATGGAAAAATATGAATGGTTTAGTGGATTTTAGTTTCCCTAATTGATGTATAAAACAATTTTTATTTTTGTAGACATATATGGACAACAATCATCATATGGTGCAACGATATCGATGAATTAACTCCAATAAGGGAATTATTGGATTCCTTCATCTGGAATTGTAAAACAAATTATACGAATACATTATTGATGCAACAGTTTATTCCATAGTCATTGTCAATCTCGTACTTATACACGCAATAACATTGATAACTATAATATAAAGATTCCGGTGATGAATAATGCGAAAACTTATTACATTATTGTCACAATAGAAATCGTGAATCATTCACAACACACACCAGCACATACGCGATAAAGAATACAAGTTAAATGAACTTCCTGTTTAAGAATACAATGGGAAAACAATTAAAGCTCTTGTCAATTATGAAGCGAATGCTGACGCATTTTCATAAAACGACGTCTCAAAATCAACTTTAAAGTTTGCTTTTTTAATTAAAATTTCCAAAAGCTTGTTTTCTAACTTTGAGTCATCATTGCTCTGTATTGATTTGACACAACGAAGTTTTAATATAACAACACGGACAAAATACGGAGACGTAATATAATTAATGAAATTTAGTACACAAGAAAATAGCCATTCAAATTCATTATATTATTCGCGTAAACTCTTGGCGACTATTTATAGAATAAATAGAATAATTATCTGTGATAGTATTTGTATTTTATCCATGTCACTTGAATAAAACAGGCTTTTGAACTCAATTGTCGTTGGTTCTATACGTAATAAAAAGAGAAGATAAAAATTGCGAGCAATGTGCAAATACTAATTTTTATAATTATGCTTATAGTAATGATGTAACATTACTTTTATTGTGAAATGAGATATTTAATACATTATTATGAAAAAAAAATTATTTTAATAATTTCGTTTCTTCACACAAATCTAGAAGATACAATTCAGTCAATAACAAATCTGAAATGATTACAATTTACAATTCTACCAAAATTGAAATGGATGCATTTAATTAATTACCACAAGTGCATTTAATCAATTGTCACAGAACAGCATGAATAACTCGTAGACGGCTATTGATATTATTTTTAACGATTTTATCTCAATCGGCAATGAACAATTTTGCTTCATACCCCATTTAAATATAGGGAAAAAATCCTACAGCAAAATAATATTTTAAGTCATTATGCAAAGTTCATATTACTCCATTTTTATGGAGAAGATTGCAAATAGATGTTCTAAATTAAAAATCTCATTCGACCCATTCTCGATTTAAACGGAATATTTCGAGAATAAAGTCACTACTTTGCTTACAAACTTAACAATATTGTGTTGTTTTGCCATGAAAAACCGTAAAGTTTTAAGATGTGAACAGCAAATCAATAAGATACACAAACTGAGAGTAAACCGTAAATGTAGTCTTCACTTTTATATAATTATAAAATATTAGTATTTGATTCTTTCTAAAAAAAAATCAATAAAAGGCTATCTGGTGTTATAAAATTAATATACAATTTATATTCCTAACGAGTATCTTATAAACCATGCACGAAATTTGTTGCGAAAAATATCTCAGCCAGTGCGATAAATAGGATAGGGGAGTTTACAAGTGGTTCATTAGAATGTTTTGCCTCGGCGCTGAATGATGGAAAATGGGGTAAAATAAAGAGGAGATCCAAGCTTTGCCCGGGGTAATATTCTCGCAATAAATATCGTAAGATAAGAAGGTTAATAAGATGCTTATTAACGTTAATAATATTAAATTTGTATATCAATTTAGTAATAAGATTTCCAGCTTTGACATAAGTTTAAAGATCAAGTAATAATCAGCGCAAATAATAATAAATTATAACAAGCATGCAATTTCAAACTTCGTAATGTTCAAGAACGTATGTTGTTTCATTCCCCAGTCGTCACGCAGAGTCTAATGCACTAATTGTAATGTTGTGTTAAATGGTAATGTCAGTGCTTCTTAATTTGATCACAATTTTGAAAGTTTGAATAAATATTATAATATTTCCAAAATAAAATATTTTCTTATATTTTACATGAACCCGAAAACCTAAGTAAGTAACGAAAACATTTGAGTTCTCGAAGTAAAAGGTTTAAATTAATTTTTCTATATTGAGATTTCTCTCATGACCGACCCCACACGTCGTCTCACGAGAAATAACATGACGACTGAAGGATATATGTATTCATGAATACGGTGCTCATTCGACTAGATACGAACAAGATTTCTCTTCCTGATTATATACATCGTCAAGAATATTATCCTAAATCACCCAATTACGAAAAACTACGAGGATAAACTTCCCACGGGCTCGCTCGTACCCCAATAACAAGTTTTCGACTCTCAGTGGGTACCTATCGAGCGACGTGTACCGAAATGTATACATATAAAAGAAAATGGGGATATAATCCATCCTTTGAATTTAGTAGAATAGAGGGCTAATACATCCTTTGAACGTAATATCCCTTGTAAGATCGCATACTTTTAAGCGAGAGGAAGTGAACTGTAGTGCGAAATACGGTACTTCTCGCGGCATCGCATCATTATAGCATCGTTAACATTTATTATTTTATTACAAAATTATTTTTTAATAAATATTTGTTAATTACAGTATCATATCTAATAAATTGAATTTAAAAAGATACTTCTATACTCAAGTATTTTTCTCTAACTTGGACTTCAATACGTCATAAAGCTATTCGAGAAACGAAAAAAAATTTTTTTTTAATAAATTGAGGGAATATAATTAATTCTCGAAATTAACTTTTAGATTTAATTTAATTTAACTTTTATACCAGGGTAGAATATAGGTAATTTAAAATAACTCAATTAAAAACACTAGGACGCAAGTTATCATTTTTTTTACATATGAAAGTTTCGTATTTAACAAAAATTAATTAAATAAAAAAACTCTAACCTTTGCCTGATGCAACAATTATATATACTTTAAGTTTGTGAATGATAATGTCATATGCTCTTTAATTTTTATATAAAGGACCATTCTTACTAATTATATTAATTTCATTATTATCTGATACAATCTCATATCCCGCATTCGTTGTCCACACATCACGAATGTAATTACATCCGCTAATATTGTTTTTCTCGTTTTTACAATACGAAATAGAATGGTTGGAATCTCACAATTTGTAACAGCGCATATATGACAATATGTGATAAAGCTTTTTCATAAAACTGCTATTTATTTATAAAAGCGACATTTAATCTCGCAAAAATTAAATTTTTTATGGAAAAGGAGGAGTAAAAATAAAAGTTTAAAATGGTAGTCAATTACTGCAATATACTTGAGAGAAATGTTCGTCAATGAAAGCATGATAAAAATTTAATTGCGGTTATTTTTTAGGTAATGCCTCTCTCTCTCTCTCTCTCTCTCTCGGTGCATAAATTTAAAAATTTACAATTTTATGAAATTATAATAGCAATGTATTTGAATAATCAATACAAAAATATTATTGAAGCTAGAATAAAGAATTCTATTTTCTAACATTATTAGCCATTGGTTAAAATATTATTATATATTATCAAACAACAAGATAATGAATTCTTAAGCGACGCTACGTCGCACAGTGGTCGAAATCGGGATCGTAGGGGATAAAAATCCATTACCGGTCAATTTTAAACCAAATCAATTGAAACTTGGCAGACTAAAGCATTTTGGATCGTAGAATCTGACTACACTGCCGAAATTTTGAAAATCAAAAATGAAGAATGAGAAATTGCCACTTAAAGTTATATTTTTTGGACTGGCTCAGGCCAAGCACAGGTATAATAGGGCAGAACTAAATAGTGGGTTCATTGCATGAGCTAAAAATGAGATACCCGTGTTTTTTCTTTATCAATTTTGAATTTTTTTAAACAATTATTGTTTAAACAATTTGTATAAAATTTTCGAATTTTGAAAAACTACTTACGCCAATCGATTCTACGGGAAAAATTATGAAAGAAATATATATAACATTTTTCTATTCGAGTCTTATTTGTTATTATAAATTTATTATAAAAAATAAAGGATAGAAAGTGGCAAGCTCATGGACTCTGTATAATCTCTAAATCTATGAGCTTGCCACTTTCTATCCCTTATTTCTTTATAATAAATTTAAAATAACAAATAAAACTCGAATAGAAAAATGTTATATATTTTTTTTTCATAATTTTTCCCGTAGAATCGATTGGCGTAATTAGTTTTTCAAAATTCGAAAATTTTATACAAATTGTTTAAACAATAATTGTTTTAAAAAATTTCAAAATTGAAAAAGAAAAAACACGGGTATCTCTTTTTTAGCTCGTGCAATGAACCCACTATTTAGTTCTGCCCTATTATACCTGTGCTTGGCCAGAGCTAGTCCAAAAAATATAACTTTAGGTGGCAATTTCTCATTCTTCATTTTTTATTTTCAAAATTTCGGCAGTGTAGTCAGATTCTACGATACAAAATGCTTTAGTCTGCCAAGTTTCAATTGATTTGGTTTAAAATTGACCGTGTAATGGGATTTTTGTCCCCTACGATCCGATTTCGCCCACTGTGCGTCGTATAAAAATAAACTGACTGTGCGATTATGTTACATAGTGCACTACCGAGATATTCTACACTCTATTCAAGATTCTACCGAGTAACTTATCTGGAATTCTTTCACTATACATGTTTTTTATTTCAAATACTTATTTGGAAAGATAGTAAAAGAAATAACGATGATTCCGATAGAATGTCGTTGCAAACTTTCGATGGCAACTACCTAGGTCGAATAGAATTGATGCAATTTCAAATTTTACTTCTCACAATTAGTTTTGTAAATATATCGTACGATTTTGTTCGTGAGGGCTAATCATAACGCGCTCATGTATAGAGCATTAAAATACGATTAAGAATACAGCAGTACACAAACCATTTTATCAAACCCGTGATAGTACCTAAATACCAAAACTGATAATATAGGTTAACATGATAAAGGTGCTGCTTTGATAAATTATTAGCGTTATAATCTTTGTCGCATGTATTTTAATAGAAAAAAAAGGGAAAAAGCAAAGAGATGATGTAGGAATTTGAAAGAAGAAGAAATAATTGTAACGAGTTCTTGAAAACATTAACATTTTTTAAAATGTACAATTACCTTACAATCTTTTCACTTGGAGGATTTAATCCAACTACCTTCTTTGTCATTTCATAAATCATCTACTCAATACGTCTTAATAAAATACGTCGTAAAAAAATTTAATGTAAAAAATGTGAAAGAAATATTCCAAATGCATCTTTCTCTCGCTAATGGGAAAGATAATCGAGACAAATATAGATTAATGGCATAAATAAATAAAATTGTAAAAGTCAAGGAATCACATTAAATGAGAAATGTTTAGCAACAGACAAATACCAAGCAAACTTTAAATTCGAATGGAATGCTTATATTAACATATTTGGCACGACTGTTTATCAAATAATGCAAAGTAAATGATATGCTTACATTAGTTGGTGAATAATTAATTACTATATTTTAATAAATACCATTTATTTTTTAACCGATACAGTGGTTTTATTTCTTTTTAAGATCATTAATTTATATTTGGTTTTAATTTAATTATTATTTATTACAAAAGGATATGTAATAGTAAATCAAAGTGAGGGAGAAGGATACATTGTATTTCCTAATATTATTTTACATTGAAATTTTTAAATTTGCCGATTAAACTAAAATGTTATCAACCAGTTTCAGTCTTGTATTT